AAAAAATGCAATATTATATCATATTCCAGAAAAAACACTACTCTAGATTTTACATGTACTCTAGGAAACCAGCTGGTTGTAAGGTGCGATAAAATTAGGGACTTAGGAGTAATTCTTGACTCGAAGTTGACATTTGTAGATCATGTGAATACCACAATTTACAAAGCAAATAATATGTTGGGATTCATAAAAAGATTTAGTTATCATTTTAAAGACCCATATACCATCAAAACACTTTATATACATTCAACAACTTTGAATGTAACAACTCAAGGCGGGAGTAGCCGTCAACAATGCTGATGATGGTACAGCACGCAACAACCACCCTACTGCTTTCTCTCTGAGATGATCACGTTGGTCATGACGAGAGGAGCAACACAATAGTTGGGTAAAGAAGAACTGCATTATAACACACCATCGACTGGAAATGCTCTCGCAAACGTGGGGCTTTAGGTAGTGATGAAAACGTCGCTAGAACTATTCCACAGCCGCAGTCAGTTTATGAGCAACAGGAGGGACGCACATTTTTGCCTGTGGACTTGGAGACATACTTCAAGTCCCCGCGTACATCGTACGGGCTAGGCAAAAATGTGCGTCCATCTTGTAAACTGTCGCTTTAATGGCCCTTCGCTCATTTTCAACTTCTATTCAATTTTCATACTGCCGTACTCTAACGGAACTATCCACCTACCCTCTTCCAAAGATCATTCTCTAGCTAATAAATCATCACACTAAAGCTTCATGTTAGCATTTCCAACCAACTCTCACTTTATATAGCTTACGTGAGATCAATTCTCGAATACTGCAGTGTGGTTTGGGCTCCATACCATGAAACTTATATAAATCGTATGGAATCAGTTCAAAAACAGTTTTTGTTATTTGCTCTTAGGAAACTAGGCTGGACCTATTTTCCCCTTCCTTCTTATGAGTCCCGTTGCATGTTGATAAACATTGAAACACTTAAGAAACGAAGAGAAATTTCCATGATTTCCTTTGTCAATGATATTATCTCACAACGCGTAAATTCAGAAAAAATATTAGCAAGATTAAATTTTTACGTACCATCACGCATGTTAAGAACTCGAAATGTATTTCAACTGTCACCTCACAGAACGAATTATGGTAAAAATGGACCAATTAATAGAATGATGAGAGTGTATAATAATTATTGTGAGCATATAGATCTAACGATGTCTAAAGATACAGTAAGGAGAACACTAACTGCTAGGATTTCATCTCGTTAAGTTTAAAACAATTTTTATTTTTTAGATATTTGTATATGCAGTCTACATTTGCTGACAATTTCAAATAAAACGTATGTTTTAAAATAGCATGTAAGGCAACAGCACTATTGTAAAACGGTCTACACTGATTGACGACAAATAAATAGATTGGGAATACCCCCTTAAGCGAAAATATCCGGTAATCCTGTTCACCGACGAGAGCATGTTTACCGTCGATCCCGTATCAAATTCCAGAACCGACCGGTATATTAGTTCTCTACCGGTAAAAGACGTGGCCGACGAGCACAAGAACGTTTATTTGACCAAGCATCCTGCTAGCGTTATGGTGTTTGGATTGGTGGCTTCCGATTGCAAAAAAAAAATAGACCCGGTGTTCATTCTAGAAGGCGACAAGGTCAACACGGAGGTCTACATCGGGATTTTAAGTAAGTATGGTCTTCCGTGGATCAAAGAACAGTACGGCCCGAAGCCAAATGTTGTATTTCAACAAGATGGGGCTCCATGCCACGCCTCGAACCGCACTCAGAATTGGTTGCAGGAACATCTTCCGTTCTGTTCTAAACACCACCCGAGTACAGCAAGCCTCAGACAAACATTGACCCGTACCTGGAGAGAAATGGATCCAGACTACATTACTAGAACCTGCCGTGCATTCCGGAAGCGTGTGGAGGCCGTAATTGCAGCAAGTGGAAACTCGATCGTTGATTAACATAGTTTAAGACTCTGAGAAACATGCACAAATGAAAACGAAATTTTTGAGTTTTTTTTTTTTTAATTTTGGTATTGCTCAATGGTGCAAACATTATCACGCATACGGTATATATGAGAACAACCTTGGCCCAGTGAGATCGAACGAAGACAAGGGCAGCAGCACACCCCACCTATGATTGACATCGTACCCCACCCACATGTGCAAGCTCTGCATTCTGGCAGCTTTGTTTATATATTTGTCGATTTAATTTTGGAGTCCGTAAAGTATAAGTTGATAAAGTAGAATATTGTAGAACATTGAACTATTACCTCTCACCCCAGCAGGCCTGGGTTCAATCTCATTCGGTGCCGCCGTAATGTTCTGAGGCATAACATCTCTGATCACGGGAGAAGTAAAGTCGTTGGTCCCCGGTTCATGAGTTGATGGGTCGATAGGTAGGGTCCAGGTGTTGGTAGCTCCCTGGCGTCGGTAGCATTGGTGCTCAGCACGGAAAACAAGATCGACGGAAAACAAAATCAAGGAAAGAAAAAAACTATGATATACAATGCTATTGATATCGGCAATTAGACTCCCAAGTGTGTCACAATCCGGATCAATAGTGTTGAGGCCTGGTTCACAGCATAAGATTCACACGTAAATGGATGTGTTTCACAATAAAATCACAATTAAGTGTGAGACACATAATGATGACGTATGGAATTTTTTGAGTGTAGAAGAAAAAAAATCAAAATATTGTTGCATGACAAGAGGAAACGTAGTTTTGAACTGCTCGAATGATGTGATCCATTCCGAAGAGTTTTCCAAGGAATCGAACTCTTCGTACGGTTCTAAAGGAATTCTCTGAAAAATTGCATGGGAATTCTAAGAAGAATTAATGAACCACCTTCCGAAAATAAATTTGCCAGAAAAGAAATCAAAAGATTTGTTTCTAGAGAGTAATTTATTCCATCACGATTTCATCAAACTCGCTTTTATACATCCATAGTCCAGTTCAATGCCGGGCGCGCAATCGCAACTTAATGCTTCGCTTGGCCACACTATCGTCTAAATCCCGCTGTCCATGTGGCGGCAGGTAGTCTCCATCGGGCTTCGGCGCCAGATAATCATTTTCGACCGTTGGCTTCACGTAGTGATATGGTCCCTGGAAATCGGGGTGCGATTCGTGAAGCTGGAAGCTAGCCGGAGCGTCCACTTCTACCACAGCCAGGGCCAAAGGCTCCAGCTCCAGGTCAGCGGGATCCTCGATGAAAACGGTATCGAACAGTTGAGCCTCAGTCTCGCCATCGATTTCACGGGCCTTCAGCTTGTGTTTGTTGGCAGCGGTACGTAGGTGAGATGATTTCAGTGCAAGACGGCCGCCTGGCCGACGGAGAACCTCACTCACATCGGCGGCAACTGTGGGAATAGAATTGTTGATAAGGGTAATGAATGTACATACAAATTTCTTAAAACTTACCGATGCACAAAAGTGCGGATATCACAATTAATTTGCTGTTCATTTTCGATGGTATAAGGAATGAGTTGTTCCCGTGAATCGTCGGCACAAGACTGTTGATGAAGCTCAAGAATCTATCACTTTTTATACAAAACATGATCCTGTAGCCAATGAGTCAGAATATGTTGTATTTTCGACAGATTTCAACTGAATTTCCAAAAAGAGGCCTGTACTCAACTTTTGTTTGTTTCCGTATTTGATTTGCAAAAAGATCGCCATCCGCTGATGTTGAGCGAGGCTTATTTTATATGAATCTCACGGTCCAATATTGGCTCTTTATTTGAGTTGTCTAGAAGTAGCTATGTGTTCGCTCTATGCATGCGATCGATGAAATGAGAAGATTTCAATCATATTGAATTTGAAACATCATTGAATAGGAGAAGGCCCGTCAAAAAAGCCGAGTATCGATTGTCTCAATTGACACCAAATAGTGACATTTTCATGTCATCAACGCAATAAAGGGGTCTGTTATAACCGCCCAACAAACTTTAAAAGCTGAATATTAGCTTATCCAGGGAAAAATATGTTTCATCAGCAAGAAAATTACTTATTCAGCTTTCAATCAACTCAAATTGATTCTTGGGCGGTCACCGAGGTCTGTAACGTGCGTTACTTTTTTTATGTCATATAGTCAGGAGTCACGTGACTGGAGCAATTTGGAGCATTACTTTTGTTGTGACTTAGTGATAGCAGAATTTTTTAGTCGCAAAATGACGAGTCGATCAAATAGTGATCTTTTGAGCAAATTTTGAAAATAGTCTTTAAACATAAATTTAATTCAAGTAAATCACTCCAATAAAGTATTTCGTTCAATTCAATTAAATTAGGCGAATTGAACGATTATGTGCTGGAATATTATACATTAAATAATTAACGGTGAGAATTTTAAGTTCGGACAGTTTGCTCGGCAATTCATTTACCTAGATTAATTAAAGAAATTAATTGATTAGTCTGTACATTTTGCACCGACAAACCGACATGACACTTAATTCTGACTTATGCCCGAAAATCGTAAACGGCCGATTTAAATGTACAGTGTCACAGTGACAGTGCCGAACTGTCAAAACCATAGAATTGTTTGATCTAGATAAAAATAATTTGTCCAGAATAGTGAAACATAAGAAAGTCTGCGTACTTTTTTTGGAATCTGACATTTTCAGCTTGGGTGTAGTTTGGCTTTGAGCGTTTGAGTCGCAACTCTCGTTCTTTATTTGAGTAGTAGTGTTTAAGATTGAGTTCAATTGTCAGCTGAAATTTGCACACAATTTCTCATTTCTTTCGTCAAATATGCAAACGAACGGTGACCGCATGCCTTTTACGAAATTATGCAGAGCAAATATTTGCCAAATTTATTTTCAGAGGTTGTTCAGAGAGGATTGAGATCGATTTTTGCAAACCGAATACGGAAACAAACAAAAGCATAAACCTGTTTTTGACAATTCTAGATCAGAGTAATTTCTCATTAATGGTTCGGTTGGTCAGTCATAGGTATAAAAACTGATAGATTCTTGAGCTTCATCATCAGTCTTGTGCCGTCGATTCACGGGAAAAACTCATTCCTTCTCCATCGAAAATGAACAGCAAATTAATTGTGATATCCGCACTTTTGTGCATTGGTAAGTTTTAAGAAATTTGTATGTACATTCATTACCCTTATCAACAATTCTATTCCCACAGTTGCCGCCGATGTGAGTGAGGTTCTCCGTCGGCCAAGCGGCCGTCTTGCACTGAAGTCATCTCACCTACGTGCCGCTGCCAACAAACACAAGCTGAAGGCCCGTGAAATCGATGGCGAGACTGAGGCCCAACTGTTCGATACCGTTTTCATCGAGGATCCCGTTGACCTGGAACTGGAACCTTTGGCCCTGGCTGTGGTAGAAGCGGACGCTCCGGCTAGCTTCCAGCTTCACGAATCGCACCCCGATTTCCAGGGACCATATCACTACGTGAAGCCAACGGTCGAAAATGATTATCTGGTGCCGAAGCCCGATGGAGACTACCTACCACCACATGGACAGCGGGATTTCGACGATAGTGTGGCCAAGCGAAGCATCAAGCTGCGATTGCGCGCCCGGCATTGAACTGGATTGTGATGTTTGGTACCGAACTTGATGTAATCGTGATGGAATATATAATTGAGTTAAATCCAACATAATCTTTTAATTGAACCATCTTGCATTTGAGAAAATCATTCAGACTGTTGTATTTTATTCACTTAGTGTATGTTTAGGTATTGAAACTCGTTCATAAATTGTACGCTACTTCTTTCAAGTTGTTGGCAGTAGTTGGAGTCTCTGGCAAAAATCAAGCTCATATTTATTTATGTTTAATATAAGTACGACGAACCAGCCCACGGCTGAATGTTACGGTAATAAAACAAAACTAACTAATTTTTAATAGTAATACTAGATAAGGCAGCCATAATTTTGCATGCATAATGAGTGCAAATCCAGCTATCCTAAAATTAACACCATCCCACGAGATTTCTTAATCTTATTTTATATCGCATTATTTTAGAGTTAAAAAAGCGCAGTATTTATGTGGGTCGTCGTGGCATACACATTCAACATACTCCGTAACAACTCGTATTTCTCGATGAACATTTCAAATGGTACTATCTGCTTTGATCGATTCCCTTCATCGAATTTCTCTTTTGATGACCATCCCAACAAACAATTTTAGCTGCAGACTAGCTTATACAGGCAAAAATTAGCTGTATAAGCCAATTTTTGGCTGTATAAGCTAATCTGCAGCTAAAATTGTTAGTTGGGATACTGCTATGCGAACAGATTTCATGCTAATTTTACCACATTGTTTGATAAAGGAGTTTCTTATCTAGCGTCCAAAACTTCAAATAAAACAGAGAAAGGTTTTGCAGCTGATTTATTAACGAAAGAGAAAGTCGATAAAGAGAATCGATCAATGCAGATAGAACCTTTTGACATGTTTATCTAGATATGCTTGTTAGGTCGTAGTGAAATTCTCGTTTGTTTGCTGCATCTCGGCATGCTTTTATGCTTAATTTAAGTTTTTTTAGAGGATTGTTGTCAGGCATTCTTACAACGTGTCGCGCCCATTGCACTCTTGCAGTTTTAGCGAACTCTGGATACTTGGTTCGCCACAGAGATGCGCCAACTCGTGTCAATCGGTCAACTGGTTCCGAAGATATGGCTGTCCGGATAGTATGGCCCATGAGACATCATTCGATACCTCAAATCATGAGAATTCGAAAATTAAAATTCTAAAATCAATGGTTGTTATATGGAGGACCCAGAACCACATTTGCTACATTAGGATACCTCCGGGGAAGTAGTCAATGTGATAATAAATTGTAAGATTGATTTCTCTGCAGTCATTAATTACATTATCTCATTAGTTGATATTTCAAAATACCGTTTCAAGCAAGCACACATTGCACAGTAGTTTAAAAGTCTATTTTCGCGCTTGTAATTAATCACCATCCCTCCCCCAACGGATGAGTTTGGTAAACCCGATTCGTGCCTTCCTCAAAATTGACCTTTGCTCGCTTTCTACTCTCTATGTACAATTTTTACTCTGCCGTACCACAGAGAACAGACGTTGAAGCTCGAACAAAATTTCTCTAAAAACTAGTGTAAAGATTCCTATTCGACTTAAGCGCCACTAACGGCAACTTCCCCAACCTGATGGTGCTGGCGTTGCACAATTTACACTAGACACTGGTAGCGCCAATTGGCAATTTTCAACGGAAAATTTATCGATACTAGCGCCAAATTGGTGGAAAGTGGAAAATATATAGAGGAAATCAGGAGATGCTAGCGCCACGTAACGGCGATGTTCCTACTTATCTTCACACAAGTTTCTGACCGAAGTTGGACGTCTGTTCTCTGTGGCCGTACTCTAATACCAACAATCAATACGAAACTAACGATTTAAAATTGGCTCACTACTTGACTAGTCTATTGGTCCCAAGCAAATTGATTAACGTATCCCATTCTAGTCGAAATTCTAGTACTACACAATGTTTGTTTTGATTCGCTATGAATGTTTGACAGATAAAATCAGGGGTTAGTGGATTTTCCTATGTTTCGTGAGGTGAATCTATTAGCTTGGGACCTAAGATAGTACCAGAGCTGAGCCAAAAAGTTGAGCTCGTTTCTTCGGGACCTTCTGGTCTTAGAGTCGAAATGGTACCACCATAGAGGTAACTCTAAGACTAGTAGGTCCCGATGAAACGAGCTCAACTTTTTGGCTCAGCTCTGGTACTATCTTCGGATGCACCCCTGGAAACATAGGAAAATCCACGAACCCCTCATTTTATCTGTCAAACTTTCATAAGGATTCAAAACAAACATTGCGTAGTACTAGAATTTCGACTAGAATGGGGTACGTTAATCGTTTGCTTGGGACCAATAGACTAGTCAAGTAGTGAGCCAATTTAAAATCGTTAGTTTCCACCGTTTGGTACCACCATCTGGGATACTGATAGAAACTGTTTAGTCAGTTGGTGAACGATCTATCGATCTTTTCGAAAAGCAATCTGCTTCTCGAGAAATAAGTGTTTTTTTTTCTCGGCAGATGTTGACAGCCGGCGTTTTTTCGAACAGCTTGGATAACCCTGGCAGGAGGGGAAGGATACTTCCCAAATTTCCAGATTGGTAAGACTTGAGCTGACTTTCAGCTCTATGGTGAGGGAGTGAGGGTATTGATTGAAAATCAAATGGTGATTTTAAAATTGCAAACTCAAAACTTTGAGTTCTAAATTCAAGATGTTGTCGAAACCTGGGGTCTTCATGTTTTTGGATTATTTGTCATCTGTAATTTCAGATTCCTTAGGTCCTGAGTCAAGAATGTTGTTGGGTATCTAATAGAGATTAGTTGCATTTTTAGCAACAGTAGCATGGTAGTTTTATCTATCTAACTAGCTTATCAAATTATTCATGAAATCGTCTGAACGATTCAGTCTACCAGCGGTGGAATGGGTTTCGGCTTGTTTATTTGTTTTTAAGATTTAGGTTAATTGGGTTATTTAACTTCGCAAAATATACCTATTTTTATATATCATCTGATAGAGCTTCGTTTTCTGAGCACAACAATATTTTTATCGATCCCGTAGACAGTCATCTCGATTTTTAAATCAAGATTTAAATTTTTGATCTTTGACACTAAATCTATTCGTTGACAGCTCGCTCCAGCACAAAGTCCCACCAAGGGATGATTTTTGCTAATGTAATCGTACTTATTTAAAATAGTTCCAGTGTACCAAAATTGATGAAATTTTGGATTTCGGTTCCATTTTTAATGCAGATAACGAATATGTAATTATCTCCATACCCTTAAACAACCCAATTTCCAGAACAGCTTAGAACAATCTGGAAGAGGGCGGATCTTGCATACTACTTCTTCTGCTTCTTATAAGCTTTTACGCTTCTGTAGCGAACGTTTTGCCGGCTCTCAAGCTTAGTGTTCTAGATGCACTTCGCAGTTATGATTTGAGAGCTTTCTATGCCAATCAATGCATGCATTTTTATATTGTTTGGCAAGCACATTGATACCCTATGCCCAAGGAAGTCGAGAAAATTCCCAACGCGAAAGATTTCCTCGACCGGACCGGGAATCGAACCCGACGTCAGTAATGGTGAATTTGCGTTGCAAACGTTATGGATTAACCCTATAAGACCAATTTAAAAATTCGTTTTCATGATATTCGCTGCTTAGATAGGAGAAATCAGTTAAATAACCTTCCGAAAATAAATTTGGCCAAAAAAACAGAAATATTTGTCTAACACAGGAAAATTTATTCCATCACTATTTCATCAAGCTCGCTTTTATACATCCATAGTCCAGTTCAAAGACGTGCGCGCAATCGCAACTTAATGCTTCGCTTGGCCACACTATCGTCGAAATCCCGCTGTCCATGTGGCGGCAGGTAGTCTCCATCGGGCTTCGGCGCCAGATAATCATTTTCAACCGTTGGCTTTACGTAGTGATATGGTCCCTGGAAATCGGGGTGCGATTCGTGAAGCTGGAAGCTAGCCGGAGCGTCCGCTTCTACCACAGCCAGGGCCAAAGGCTCCAGCTCCAGGCCAACGGGATCCTCGATGAAAACGGTATCGAATAGTTGGGCCTCAGTCTCGCCATCGATTTCACGGGCCTTCAGCTTGTGTTTGTTGGCAGCGGCACGTAGGTGAGATGATTTCAGTGCAAGACGGCCGCTTGGCCGACGTAGAACCTCACTCACATCGGCGGCAACTGTGGGAATAGAATTGTTGATAAGGGTAATGAATGTACATACAAATTTCTTAAAACTTACCAATGCACAAAAGTGCGGATATCACAATTAATTTGCTGTTCATTTTCGATGGAGAAGGAATGAGTTGTTCCCGTGAATCGACGGCACAAGACTGATGATGAAGCTCAAGAATCTATCCATTTTTATACCTACGACTGACCAACCGAACCATTATTGAGAAATTACTCTGATCTAGAATTGTCAAAAACAGGTTTATGCTTTTGTTTGTTTCCGTATTCGGTTTGCAAAAATCGATCTCAATCCTCTCTGAACAACCTCTGAAAATAAATTTGGTAAATATTTGCTCTGCATAATTTCGTAAAAGGCATGTGGTCACCGTTCGTTTGCATATTTGACGAAAGAAATGAGAAATTGTGTGCAAATTTCAGCTGACAATTTAACTCAATCTTAAACACTACTACTCAAATAAAGAACGAGAGTTGCGACTCAAACCCTCAAAGCCAAACTACACCCAACCGGAAAATATATAGTATAATATATATTTATTTCCAAAAAAAGTACGCAGACTTTCTTATGTTTCACCGCATGAACAAATTTTGTAATGGAAGGTTCGGAAGGAACACAATAAAATTTCTGACCAAAACACACTACTGACATCTGGCTCCATGTTCCCGGGAAATATTTAGCTAAAGCCTAGTATACAGATCGAAGCGAAACGAAAATTGAAGCACGCGAAAAATCATGAAATTTCGCTTGCGAAAAAGGTTGCGAAAAAATGTTTGTGGAACTTTTTCCAGTTTCCTTTTTTCGCAGTTTACAGTTCATGTGAAACGAAATCGATCAGTTTACACCTCCGCTGAAGTGAAAATCTGACAGATACGCTTTCCCGAAACGTCAACTTTTCGCTTAGCTGCTGCTCTTTT